GGGTTTGACTCCTTCTTACCGACCCACAGGCGTCCCCAGAGGGAACCGACCCTGTCATGAGACGCACAGTCGAACACGCTCCCTCTCACATATTTAAAGTGAAAGGAGATGCAGTTCGCTCGCGACGGATACAGCCGGTACTCTGGGCGGTTCTTCATAATCTTCCATCTGTATGACTCGGTGAGCCACGCTTTTGGGGTGAGGCGGAGTATCATCGATCCCAGTGATACAATGTATATACCCCCACCCTTGATCCTAAAGTGACCACCCAAGGTTGCTTCAATGCTTATGGGATCACAGGCGTCGGGATCCAAAGCAACCCCATCCGCCTGAGTGCGGAGTGGGGCGCAGAGCACGCAAACGGTGTTGATGGGCGGCGTTGGTCAGCCGCGGAGGATGTAATGCTTAAGGCCCCCGGGTGGGGATAACATTAGGCAACACTTCCCACTGGACCAAACGCTACCCGAGCCGAGTACGTCCCCACCTCAGTGACGCAGACTGGACATCCTCCACCCTCTTTGTTCAGAGAATGGTGGGTACAGTCTCGGAGCTTCGGAGTGCAATGAACCAGAGGGTTCAGATCGAATCCGCTAGCCAGTTGGTCCTGCCATGGGCAAACAGAGGTCACCCCAAGCACAGAAAACACAATGCCCTAGGGTGTCGTCCGCTAGCCAGAGTCAGCCAGGAGGCAAGCGCTTATACCCTTCCATGGGAGGGGAGGGTAGTGGCGCGCCCCCAGGGGGGTAAGAGCCAGGTGGTGGCTCCTCACCCTCCCTGGGCGGACATCTACCCGACAGCAGGGGAGGCATGTTTGACGCTCACCTCTGCAACGGAGGGGGGCACGTGTTTGGTGAATGGCCAGATCACAACTTAGTGACTACTTCAGGCCTTGGGGAACTCACCTCATGGGGAAGGGAGCGCACCCCCCCCCCTCGCAACTGCCGAACACATGGACACATATTCCTGTCGTACACAGATTGCGCCGGTGTAGTCCGGTTTGGAGACGGCGAGTGACCGACCCCTGGACCTTCCCAG